TTGATTTAAATGAGACCATATTCTATAAGCGACATGGTACTTTTACGTCTAGATGAGCAAGGATTTTTGTATTTAATGAAAAAATCGAAAAAGGATTTTCATAATGTTTCTAGAAGTGAGCTGGCAGTTCAGTGTCCATAAGTTCGGAAAAACTAATAAATTTAAGAGTTCTGCTGTTGGTCCAAGCTTGGGGACCAATTCAAAAACAAGGAGGCTGAGGTGGTGACATCTCAGCCCTTGATTTCAATCCATGGAATTCAAATCAAGGGTTGAGGTGGAAACACCTCAGCAGCCTGGATTTGAGTTGGTCCACAAGCCTAGACCAACAACTTTTATGTAAATTTAATGTCACATCATGTACATATTGTTTGATCTCTTCTACCTCAGGTGTTATTGCAAAAGACAATGTTCATTATTGACGTTTTGGTAGTTTCCTTCAACAGGCCTTACGTTCCCATTTCAAATAATGTAAGATATTCTTTTCTGAACTATATCGTCAAATTTGTCAATTACATCATTGAATTACATGGCCCGTACATTATTTCTTTATAGAAAATATGTAAATATTAAATATCAATATACTTGTAATTAGGATATAACAAAATAAAAAATTATAATACTGAACTTATTACCTCTTTGTCAATTAGAATAAATCTCAAATTATCAACATTTTTTTATCCTTTGAATAGGATTCTCTTGAACTCTTTCAAGCTAAAATCACTTTAATGGACCATCCATCTTCGTACGATATTATCTCTCTTGTAACCTTTGACTGCATAATGCAAAGCCAACCTTCAATAAAGTAATTCACATAAAGAATTGAAATAATTTAGAAAGTGATTGTTACCTCAAAAGAAATGGATTTAAATAGTCGAGAAAAAGTCATTAGAGATAATATTTAAAGATATTTTGTAACGAGCATCCATTCTTTTATTATGAAATTATAATTATATACATGAATATGAATGTTAATTTATTGAAATTAATGAATTTAGCATTAGACATAAATAGAAATGTAACAAAAAATTAATTATGTAAAAAATTAATAGTGTGTTTGAGTCCATTAATTTTGAAAAATGTATTATGAAATAGTAGATTTGAGGAGAATGTGTGGTTCAAAAAGAATGAATTTTTTTTTAATTTACATGTAATATTATTTTGATGAAGAATGTGTAGTTGAAAATGAGTACTGTAGAAAAAATAATGTGGTAGAATGTAAAATAATGAGTGACAAATAGGGGCTAAATTACTCGTCTAGTAGATGTGTACTAATGATTTTCTTGAAATTGAATTAAGAAGAAAACTAAAAGATTATTCCAAAATTGATTGAAAGCCAAAGACTCTAATTTGGATGCGAGCTCCCCTTAGTGATCCTATAGTAAAAAGTCGCAATTGTTTAATATTAGCTAAATAAAAAATTAAGCACTAATCTCGAGAAGTATGAGGGAACGTGAAAATAATTCATATCGGGGAGTGAAATAAAATATGTACGATCTAAGCTAGAATTACATTTTTTTCATACATGACTATGAATATTAATTTGTGAAAAATTATTGGATATACTATAATTAATGTCGACTTAGGTTAAACGAATTTTTTCATTAACGAGAAACAAACAGTACAATGCTCTTGTACAAATACAATTAATCGCATAAATGAACCCTTACTTTTTTCTTTTTCTTTTTTTATGCTTATATAAAAAAATGCATTGGTTCCGAAATTTTATTTTTTACTATAAAATCAAAATTGTAACCGTCCAGTTCCTATTCATATGCCTCTCTCTCTCTCTCTCTCTCTCCCTCCCTCCCTCCCTCCCTCCATATTTGTGTGTTGATATGTGCATTGGTTATTGGTGTAAAATGCTCTCCAATAATTAGAAGTGATAATGAATCGAGTCAACTTTAAACACACAAGCTCGGCTCGTTCTCAAGGGACGAGCTCGGCTTGGCCCACAACCCGAATTTTTT